ACGTTGTATTATTATTATATTGTTAGGTGTATAGGGTACTAGATTCCGCCGACCATATAGGTTTGTTTCTCGCGACAGACACACGTTGCGTACTCGAGTGTCGTTTTATATAAATAGTTCATAATACATCATAATATAATAATATTATAATGCCTGCAGCAACCTATCAGCTGTTCAAATCGTTACGTACGCACATCAGCTGACGTCTTCTGGTTGCGATCTCCGGCGCCGTCCAGTTCTGCGGAGATCGCTTTCACGCCCGTCCGGTCCATATAATAGCAGCAGGCAGTGTGCAGGTATTATTATAATATTATATCGACGAAATCTGATACGATGTCGAATACAAATTGCGTATAATATTTTATAGTGAAATATGTACCTAAAATAATATTATGCTCAAACCGTTTTGTCGCGCCGATGATCGACGGTATACGCTTACGACATCGGAGGTCGTGGTTGTCGTCTTTATTATTATCATCACTATGGTCGTATGATCATCATCATTCATCATTATTACGCACACGGCTCGCCTAATTATATTGCACATAGTCACAGATAATACCGTCCAGGAGGCGTACCTATACGTCGTAAATATAATAATATATTATAATGGATGTGTACTTATATAGTGTAATAATGTGTACATAACAATATAATAATAATTGTACACTGTTCGCCGTCGAAATGCTGCCCAGTTGTTCGTCTTACGATATCGGTGTAGTATGTAGGTATATAATATTGTTATATATAAACGCAGACCTGCTACTTAGGTATAGATTGATGCGTAACGAAGTTAAATCAAAAGTGTTTGTTCGCAATCCATATATACTGTGTGTGTGTGTGCACACGACAGGTTAGGTTCCGTTCTTGTAATACATCCTACATATTATTATTACTATTATATAGTGTATTATTATTTGTTATTATTTTGTTGCCGTAATTTTTCTAGAGAAAGCGCCATTCCGACACGATGTATTCTGTATCGACACGTCACCGAAAACTTTTCCGTTTTACGAATATAATATTATATATGGGCACATATAATATATTATATCACATGACGGACGGCGTTCACCGCGACAATATTCAGCAGCCGACCAAAGCTCTTATAATTCAATTTAATATGTTTTCCACTGACGAATGACGACGATCCGAATTCATATGAACCACGTTTATGTTATAGTTATGTTTTCCTTAACAATCGTGATGTTTTAGAGATCAACTGTATTGATTTAAAACCAAAAACTTCGTAGGTAGGTACCAGTCGGCGTGTGACTTGCGTGAGTTTAGAGTATTGAGTATATTATTTTATAATCTCAAATGCCAAACTCAACTTTTATAATATTGCTTGCAGTGTAGTTCAGAAATATCGTAGCGAAGGGACGACGTAAGAGCATACACATATTATAATATAAATATATAATATATTTATAGAACATAATATGCGTCGTGTTCGAGTATAACCGTAAAATGGAGTAAATAATAAAGTTCTATGACAATAATTGAAAGTTATATGTTTTTCGATTTAAACTGCAGTTTCTATATCGTAAAAATATATGAGATATATATATATATATATAAATTGACAAAGTTTGTAAGTAATCGGTACTTTACTGTGTAATTTTTCTCTAGCGCGCAGAAAACTTCAAAAACCTTTTTAGTCTGATCGATCACTCCGGAAACAAACGGTTTCAAGAAGAAAAAACGTGGTCTCATCTTATTTTATTTTTTACGACTATGCTAGACCCCGAAACGTCCAGATCAAAGAATATAGGGTTGAAAAATTTTACCTATAACAAGCACATAATATTATACGACTCGCTGACTCAATTCGACTGTCATATTGGTGTTATATGTATTATTTAGTATCCTTATTCTTATAATGATACAACATCCAAACACTAATACAACGAGTTCCACTAACATTGATCTATAGATGATGATGCACAGCAGTAAGATGAGTGTTATAAAAATCCGGTAACGTGTATATTATAATGATAATGTGTGTTTGTGCAGTAGTGCTCACATTTAAATTTTAAATTAAATGTTTGAAGAAAATTCCTGTTTTAGTACGTTCGATGGTATACATTCATATTAATATGTTGTAACTACCTATACTTGTTACTTATTACTTGAAATAATGATATTTTGTATAAATAGCGTGATGATAATTATTATAATATAATCAATAGGTATCTATTATAAACATTGTGCAATTATATTATTTTGAAACGTAAGTGCTAAATACGCTTCCTTGTAATGTGGAATACAACTATTTGCGACAAAAACATCCATTATCCATACGATTAGCACATTTAAAAAAATGCAATTTTTATATTTAATTAATGGTTTGTAGTTTTATTCATATTCAGGGTCAGTTTGGTTTTTAATAGCAGGGGAAAATGTTTTGAATGGCCCGTATAACTGAACAAAAAACATCTCGCAAGCTGTTGTCTACTTACATTTTTATCTCGATACAATAATTCCCATCTAACATAACTTTATACGTGTCTCGGTGTCTGAGACAAAAAAAACCCTCATTTTATATTTAAAAAAAACGGTGGGAACTAAATAATCATAGTACCTACCATAGGGTGGGGTCGAACAAATTAATTTACAATATGAAACACGGATCGCTTAAATGTAATTGAAAAATCGAAAATATTGTAACAGTTTAAGCTTTGGTTCTATTGTACCTATTTGAAGACCAACGCTTCTGCTCTTTATATATTTTCCAACTATAACAAACTATGAACATTAATAATATTTTCGTGACAATAATTTTCTTATACTTACACAAAATTATATTTGCTCAAGATAAAAAAAAATGATAAATATGTTTTTCACCAATAACCTGCCTAATAATTGAGCTGCTTTTAATATCAGGCAGGGTAAAATGCCCACTTTGCCCCTTAAATAACGCCGCCATTCAGGACTAGTAGCAATCTTATGAGATGAAATAAGTGGCACAGTAAAATGTTCGAAGAAACACTTATTAATACGTTAACAAAAACACAACCATTTCGCAAGAATACCAATCGATACCTATTTAATTAACTCGTCAACAAGAAAACAAGAACTCACAAATTGCATTGCTTTAATTAATTTGAATTTTCCACAATTTATGTACATGATATATAAAAATATAAATAGATTTTTAAAGCTGTTGTGAGAACTGAGAAGTGCGAATTACATTATGCAATTATTTTATACATATAATTTATGATTTAAGAAAAGTATAGGCATAACACATTAACACTCCTTTAAGTTATTTAAGTTATTATTTCAAAAACAATTATATTCTAACGTAAACAATAAAATATTACTTCTTAGTTGTTTGACTTTTATCTAGTCAGTATTGAACTAAATTATTGTTTATATTAAAAATTATTAATCTCTTAAACCCAGTACCCACGTATAAGATGATATAATTTTGTTTGATTAAATATATTTTAGAAAGTGCAAAATTTAAGTGCATTGAATGTAATATTATAATCTGTTAATTTATATGTTTATTCAGAAAAAAATTTAATGTTTAGTGTATAGCTATTACATAAAGCCGTAATCACATAACTGAATAGATCTATATATACGAATAGGTGTATTACCTATACATTTATACCATCACAGCTGAGCTCATTGTATGTAGCTCATTGTGTATATCATAAAAAAATATTTAGCTACCACATTGGTTTGAGAAATATTTACATACTATACATAGGTAAATTAAGCATTACTAATTCATAATATTTTAGCGTAGATACATATTATAAAGTTTATTATTATAATATTATTACTCACGAGTTAATCGATTTAGTTGGCACTAGAATTAGAACTTATAAAAGCTCAACATATGTTAACAATCAAACTACCTGGGTAATGTTTTTTTCCTACCGAAAAGCTATCGGTTATCAGTAAAATTTTATTATTTCAAATATCACTTGACGTGTTCTATACGGACCGGTAAATCAAGTAATCAGTACACGTTGACCATGATACAATCTAATCAGTAATAAGTAATCACATAAGTATTTTTTTCGGACAGTTAAAGAAACATATTAAATACAGTATTGATTTTCATCGGATTTCAAACGTGCTCAAACACAAACTCTGTAACACGTAATGGTGTTAACTCGGTAGCCGGAAAAAAATCATCCAATAACTGCAGGTTATTTTTTTAGTTATTATCTTAAATAGTAGGTATTAATGTTTTTGAAATTATTTTTTTTTTTATATATATAATTTTAAATCATTACAAAACAACATTTTTAAGAAATAATGATGTATTACTATTTTAAATTTTTATCTTAATATTTTTTTAATAACATATTTTCTTATCGTTAAGTTTTTTTACGTTTTCGAATGATAGCATACAATATCTTAATTTCATATTGCCAAACAGAATATCTTTTTGAGAATTTCAAACGTGTTTTTATTTATATTTACAACTTAAGTATAAAAGTACTTATTTAAAGTTTAATTGAGCAAGGTACCTATGCACTACTGCACACCCTCCATTTAAACATTAAATACTTTTATACCTTTTAAGTTTTAAATTGTAATTGATAAGCTACTAGTTGGAAATTTGATTTTTATGGAAGAATTCAATACTCAGAAAAATTATGTGTGTTCGAATATGAAATTAAATAGAAAATAGTAACAATGTCATTTAAAAAAAGTTAACAAGTACTTAGAAAAACAATTTTGTTTTGTATTGAATTCAAATAATTAAAAAAACATTCACACTATGACGAGCTTTGAATGTCTAAAACGAAATCACCCTGTAGGTATACCGTGCAGTAATATTAATAATAAACAATTATTATGAGACTTACCTATATAGGTCTTCGGAACGGCGTTGATCTAGAGATCGTGGGTACCGCTTGTGGGCAGATTTCGGAGAGTATACTTCGGAGCAGTGGCAATCGAGTCTGTGAAACCGAATAGAAAAAAAAACGTCGGTGTAGCACGTGTGGGATCGGTTCGTCACTGCAGCGGATATGCGTCTTAAGCGAAATGTGTTTCAAAGCGCGTCCGGTTCGATGCCGGTCGGTCGGTCTTATGGTAGCACAGCGACAGTGTCAGCGGTAGTAATAGCAGCAATGGTCGTAGCAGCAACCACGGTAGTAGTAGTAGTAGTAGTACGGGAATGCGGTGTCCGTCTGGTAAATCCCATGGCCGACTGGACGCACGCGGCGGTGGCGTGCAATATTACAAAACCTTCACAAAACACTTTCACCGGGAACGTCATCGCGTTCCCACCAATCCGCGAACCGCCGGAACTGATAATGATATTGCAGTCCGCGGCCGGAGTGGCGGTCCGACGTAATGTGTTATAATATAGGCATGTAGGTATATAGGCAGGCCGTGGTCGATGGATACGCCAAAAATGACACACGGGCATAAGGCATGTAGTAGGATTCGGCCGACCGAATCGTCGTCACCACGTATACCTACATTATACCTATGTTAAGCTGCACATCGCAGTCGCCTACGCAGATCCGAATGACGTCACTCGTCAAGGCGGGGTATTCCCTCACGCAGCGGCCGAATAAGTCGAGCACGACGCATAAGAATAATGATCAGCCAGAGGTCAGACACACATATACAGACAGACCGATGGACGGATATTTGACAATAATTTAATATGGTACGGCGGTACCAAACACGCCGACTTCCAGAAACTCTTTAGGTAGGTAGGTCGTTGGAAAAAAAAAGTCGAGCAAATGTATAAATAAAACTATAATAAACGACCAACTAATTTTATATAGTTCTTGAATAACGCAGGTGAATAATAATTATATCGGCTAATAACCTCGTCGTTAATGCTTAAAAGTATAACGTAGGTATGAAGAATAAAAAATGTTAATCGCGGCCGACGTGCCGATAAAATATATAATAATATGATAAACGTAAATATTATTATTACGTATATACATACCTCCACAATGCACTTCCCGAAGAAAGTGAGAGTCATCGCGGTTTATTTTGCCGCCGTCCTCGTCAAACCTTGTAACGGTTTCGGCCGCCGCAGCTGCTGAGATCCGATTATGGGCCATTATTATTATTACGGACGACGATCGGTTTCCTATCGAACTAACTCGCCCGGGTGCACCACGGCTCCCTAGGGCACTGAACTATGAATATCAAGAGCGAAATCGCGACCAATAGATCACGGCATTTAATAAAAATTAGGACTGGGAACAAACTGAAAGACCCGCTTTTATGCCATAAAATTCACTAATTTGTTTTTATTTTAATTGAGTTTTGAAACAAATACAACATTTTTTTATTAAATAAAAAAAAATGTTTTACAGGACTGCACAGTTTCAAGACTAATACGTGGACTTCTGATCCAAAAAAATAATTATTCCCATTTAATTTTTAGTCGTCGTACTCGTAATATTGATCTTATTTCTTACGGATCCGTTGGAAAAAATGTAATTAATAATATTCGATTAAGTTAAATTCTTGTTAGCACCTCACAAAGTTATACTTTTTAGGTAAGAATCTTAAAATAAAATATTAAAAAAGAATTAAAAACCCAAAAATGCAAAATTAAAACTATTCTTATTCCGATTCAAAATAACATTAAACGTAGGTATATGTTATACAACAATCATCGCATAGGTATCAGGCACTTATACATGGGGGTCAACTCCTCCCCTCAAAAAACTACTATGAACCCCCCTAAATGTACGTGCCTGGTAGCTATTGCTTAGGTAAACAATGCAAAGTACCTACATCGAAATCTTAGGCCTAATAATAATATTATAATATGCGTCGATAAATATATATATTGGCGAAATCGTGTCCTAACCATGGCCGACTATTTAGTATTTTGATTCAAAATTCGGCAGTTAGCAATAATTTGCTATTACGTGTTTCTCGAATATGCATCGAGTAAAGTTTCTGCAAATTGTCGGTTCGGTGACTGAGAGTTTGGTGACATCTTACGGTCAAGTCCACGGGATCTCTTGAAATGAAAACGATGCCTTCCTCCACCGAATATTTACCAAATACATCATTCAAGGTTTAGGTTTACTTACGTTGAAATATCTCCAAAATACGAATCAGAGAGGTTCTTATTCAGGGATGGAACTTCACCGAAAAGAACCGGTTTTGGAACCGAAACCTTATTTCATAGATTCTTAACCGGGGGTCCATGGACCCCTTGGGGGTCCGTAAATGATTACCCGGGGGTCCACCGAGTGACTGTGGGTTTTTTTGGATAACGTAAAAATAAATTTGTTTTGATAGCGTTTTTAAGATAACATTAATAATGTCTTGCCCGCATACTGCCACTAAGCAACAATCTTGTTGTGCTTGAAAATTCATTTGGTTTAAATTTCATTCAATTATTTCGATTCTACATTTTCGAAATCAGAAACATGGATACTCAATCCTTTTCTAGTGGAATTAAATACAATTAATGATTCAGACTTCGTTAAAGACGAATGAATTGATTTAAGATCAAAAGAAATGGCACGTGCCATAATGTTTTTTTGAAACCTAAATTCAACATAGCATCAATGTTATGTAACTTCCATTGCACAGTGGGACGCCACGATTTTCAAACAAAAAATTTAATCGAATTTTGGTGTTCGTTGACGAAGGCTTATCCACGAGCTGTATCCATGGCAATGACATTTTTGATTCCATTTCCTACTACCTATATCTGTGATTCTGGATTTTTTTACAATGGTCACAATTAAAATAAAGCAAAAAATCGATTGAACATTAAGGACGATATGCGTGTTGCTCTGTCCAATACGGTCCCAGATTTCAAGGCAATATTGCAATCAAAACAACAGCAAATGTCCCATTAAAATTAGTTTTTGGCTATAAGAAAAAGTGATAATTCACAATAATTGAATGTAGTATTAAGTCTTAGATTTATCATTAAAAAAAATTAAATATTAAAATAAAAATTGTATTTATTTATTTATTTATTTTTTTTTTTGTTTGGGGGGGGGGGCGTGATTGTATTTTATACTTCAAAGGGGTCCATGGCCCAGAAAAGGTCAAGAATCTATGCTTTATTTAAATTAATTTTAATACCGGAACCTCACCGGAACCCTTATTTAAATTAATTTAAGAACCGGAACCTTACCGGAACCGATACTTTTACTTGACAAATTTTTTTCCATAAGTAAAAAACCAAATCAGGTAACAATTTTTATATTTTTTAAGAACCGAAAGAAACCAAACCCTAAATGTTGGGAACCGGAATTTTAGTTTTACTGGGAACCAAATAGGAACCGGAACCGTAAAAATCATCAAGGTTCCAGTCCCTACTTCTATTATGATAATTACACTATATGATTGATAAATACTAAAATTAAAATAAATTAAAAAATATAAATATTATTCCAGCTCCGTTCACTGCTCAAAAGGTTTTCAATTCCTCTTAAGTAACGAAGGGCTGGAGTATGACATTTCATCATGATTCTTAATATATTATGTATACAAATTTTTTTTTGGACTAGGCTTCCCAGAAATTAATTTTTCGTAACCTCCCTGTCAAGTCAATATAATAATTTTTTAATATACCTAATTTATGTTATTCAATATTTTTGATTTCTATAAATAGTTAAGTACCTCTTGAAAGTTTGTCACCGTTTTAAATATACATTGGTATTGGTACCAGCCGTAATAGATGGAATAGTAAAATGTACAGTCACTATACCCGTCTGTAACATCAGTCGCCTATTTTTAAAATTTTTACCATGAAATTTTATCGGAGGTATTTTGACTGGAGATATTTTGACGCGTCACCGGCAAGATTATATTCGTTCGAGCGGAGTTTGAACGTATCGGCTCACAAACTTCCCAAAGGTCACATGCAGTCACTTCATTTCTAGCATACCTTGTATTCTTGTCGTATGCGCTCTACCGACCACATTATGAATCGCTCTCTATATAAATATTGATGTTAATACAATATATAATACCTTATACCTGCAGATACCTGCTATACTTATATTTTACAATACTTCTATAAATCATCCATGGTTAAAAATTAAAATAAATACATCTCGATATGAAGATGCCAAAAGATTAAACACATTATTTAACAATAATATGTTATTAAGAAAATATAACAATATTTAGTAGTTTAGTGTACACGTCACATAATATCGCGAATAGTATAAGAGCTATCGTCAATAATAATGTTTTCAATTTTAAAATACTTGAGTCATCGTGTCTCTGAAAAAGGTATTAAATGTGTCAATTTTGTTTATTCCTTTCCACGAAGTTTACTAAATCTTATAAAATGTAATAATATTTGATGAACAAAGTTATGGTAAGATAAATTACAGCATAATATAGGCAGTGCTATTTACTTATCTACAATACTATAAATAACTATAAACTGCCTCGCCGCAATAGAGCGCGCCATAGGCTTAATTTGGGGGGCAAGGGGGGCAATAGTATATTTTTGTTTATACCTTATATATTCTGAGTTTTACTACGGACTGCCCCCCCCCAAATGTACCCCAAATTACGCCTATGGAGAGCATAATACCACATGCAGTCACAACCATCACCAGTAGGTAAGTCAATTACTACCAGTGGTACGATAAGATAGTCCAACCTCTTATAGTCTTATATAAACTATAGATATTTATAAAAAGAAACTTCGTGCAATATTCGATGGTTTAAGAACATTTTTTTCATGAGATCAAAAATAAAGGTTGCAGGAGTTTTAAAAATCTTTTTTTTATCATAAACATTCATACTTCCACCAACAATTACCCAATAAAGTAATGAGAGTCGAAATATAAAATATTGAAATTGCGTTCAGGGCCTATCTTAAATTCCAAAAAAAAAATGTAGATATAATTTAATAAATATAAGATATGTATAATAAATAATAGTATATTGAAATTAAAAGTGTTCCCTGCCAGGACGCTGGTTCCCGATTATGCACTAGCCGCGATACTTGCAGGTATGTGGTACACAATACAAGAAGGAGGGCGTGCTTCTAAAAATATTCCAAGTACGGTACTATTGGACACTTTATATAGAATATTCTTGAAGTACCTAACTAATATATTCTAACCTAACCGGTGGGTGTCCGTGACCCGCCTCCAGCACCGGGCCAATGTAAACATCATATGGTTAAGCACATCACTGTACAGCGAATCGCACTAGGCACCAGTAAATATTCGACCCACACACATAAATCCGGCTCCATAGTATATTTATATGGAATATTGGAAATGTGCAACGTGCTTTCGGATTGACCATTTTTCGCGTGTGTGCGCAGTTGCGTCGCCAAAGGGTTATTTGTACAGTTGGTACAGTTATATTATTGTCTCACAGCTTAAATGTT